ATAAAGATAAAAGCATCGAAATGGGAGAATGGAATCAAAAGCTGGCCATGATACCACAGATGACAAAGAGGAAAGAAACGATATGAAAGGGGGAAAAAATTAGATTAGTCATTTCTGGTTTCACCGGGGAGAAAAAGTTAAGGGACGATTATCGCGAGCAATGGTCGAGAGAGTGGAGGACAAGTAAAAGATCCTGAGATTTTTAATAGATCGTTGTTATTAATTTTTCATCCTTTTAAAAAATTAAAAAACGCGGATGTTAAATTGATCGATTATTCTAATGGAATATTATAAATTCGATGATTGAAATCTATTTCCAATGGTTAATAATTATTAATAATTATTTTTATCGAAATTATAATTGTAACACAAAGGCAAAGCCATTCGAAATCGCCATTTTTCAGCGAGAAAATACAAAAGGATTAAAAAAATTATTCGCGTTTCGTTGAAGGATTATTGTATTAAGCGATTAAAACGTAGGATAGCGGTAGCCTTTTGTGCGCCACGTTTAAAACGATTTCACGCAATGACGTCTCCGTTTTTCTAAACGCTTTTTAAATTCTTTGATTAAAAACGAACTCTCTAACGACGCTCGTCGCGCACTTTTAGCGCAAGTTTAACCTCGAACTATTTACTTGTCTCCAAGTTAGTCGAAACTGATGTTCCATTCGATGAAACTATATTTATTCCACGTGTATAACCGTATTAACGAGGAGAGAAACAAATACATATAATGCCGAACACGGTATAATAAACTGGAAAATGGATCAGAGAAACGATCCTCCATACTTTCTGTGAAAAATCTGTGAAAAAAAGGAAGAGAGAGTAGATGGAAAGCATGGGAAGTGAATTTTTTTTTTTTTTTTTTTTGCGCGCGCCTCTTTATCTCCACGAATACCGTGTCTCGATATTCGTATCAAAAGTTTCCATTCACGTAGCTCGCGCCATAGATCATTACAATTCCTCTTTTATCATATTCACGCCTCGACCTGCGTTGATAGCAGTTTTATCACGGCTAGATATATTCTCGGAAAACCGTCTGGTTGAATTGGAATTCAACCTCTGACGCGAATAAGAATGACTGGATCGGAAATATTCGCGAGCGTTCCCTCTTCCACCCCCTCTTTGCTTTGATTGCCAGGAAAATTACGTTTCCCAGAGAAATTATTAAATTTTCGAAATAATTTTGAAAATTAGCAAAAGATATTAATAAATTGGATTCTGGATTTGCTTTTGAATAAAATAAAAATTATAATTTATTCGCATTGGGGCGTCCCATTGTTCTTTGTACTCTTAACGAGACCGAGTGAAATTATATTTCGATGAAAAATGAAATAATGAAATATATAATGAATATTTGATATAACGAAATATAATGAAAAACGGAAGATATTAATAAATATTTGAGGATAAAAATGATATCATTTGCGAAAGCATCGCATTGTTATTGCGAATAAAATAAAACAATACATGGCGAAAATTATTGAAAATTTTGAAATTGAGAAATTATTAATTGCGAGGGAAAAAAAGATTATTTCTCGATGTTCAGTTCAGTTTTTCAAGGAATGAAGCGAAATGGTGAGGAAAAATTTAGAAATGAAAAAGAGATGGGCTTGATGAATCGAAATAGAAGTGACGGGAGAAGGTGGACGAATAATGAAGCGGCGAGACTGGTAACGCGAATCGCAATGACTAATTCAGGAACGGCAAGCAAATGGCAAACACTCACCGCACTATTGGCCAATCAGTGGCTTTATCGGATACTTTTAGATTATACGAGCGATCTAGTCAATTCATTTGGAACACGATTCGACATAGAAATGATCATAGTATGATTTCAATGCTAGTCGATAATTTAGTGTAATAAACAAGCGATTAATTTAATTTACAAAAACGTATTATTATTTATTTGAAAATATTTGATTAACTCAAATTTTTGTTTATCTAATTCGATTGTATCTAAATGGAAGCAACTTAAAATTGAGAATACTTTTATTCAATTAATCTTTATTGAAAAATAATACCTGAAACCTTCTCTTCTTTTCGAATAGATATATCTTTGTGAGACGTTTCATATACGCGAAAGAATCCAACTTTTTTGATAAATGATTTAATTCCATTTCTTTGCATTTCTTTTCAAACTTTTTTTTTCGAGGTTTTATCTTTGAGGATTTCTTTCCTATTTTTCCTTTTTTTTTTCTTTGGTCTTTGAAATCAATTTTTGCGGGCTCTTCTTCAATCTTCCCATGTCCATTTTTCCTATTCGCTCCTCGATTTCTTTCCCTCTTCGTTCTCAGAGAGGAGGTTAGAGCAAAGATGAGAGAAGAAAGATGAGATAAATGACGAAAGAGGACGGTTCTAACGGTTCTGATCCATCCGATACGAACGCGTAAAATGTTTTTTAAGCTAAGTTTAAAAACATTCAATGCTAAGACGCAAAGAATCAGCGCACGAATTACAGAGATTCATTTTCCTCTTACGACACAAACGTTCATTCTTGCTCAATCAATTAAGGGAATAATATTAAATTCTGTTGGAACGGCAAATTTATATGGAGCGAGCAATGTTTTCGTTAGAGGAGAAATTCAGGAGAACGTTCGACGCTTTCCCCTTCCCATTGTTCCACTTTCATTACTTTAATGAATTCGGTTGGCCTTATGTTGCGAACGTTTTTTGGATTTTCCGCCGGCAGTCTCATCTCGTGGTCAATGCGAAATTGCAAATCCCTTTGTGAAGCGAGTAAATGATGTTATCGTTAATTGAAACGGACCGGCTGCGCCCAAACCGCGCGAAATTGCAGGCCAGATACCTCGATAAAAACGGAATAAACGGATCGATCGCTTTCGAATCTTCTTCGCATCTCGAAACAAAAGCTTCCCATAGATTCAAAACAGTGTTTCAAAAATCATTCTCCCGGATGAATATCGTTTCCATTTCAGAAAAATGGTGCATTAACGAAACAACAATCTGATTTACAATTTTTAAACTATAATATTCGGAATATTAACTCTGTAATTTAAAAATTCATTATATATTTCCAGTTTTTCGTTAATTAATTCGCTCTTTATATAACGAAATGTATAAATAAATTTTCAATTCGAAACTTTTCTCTTTTCTTTCCTTTTCACCGATGCCTCGCAATTTACGAGCAAGAGTGTAAAGATAGGAGCACGTTTGAGAGTAAAATTCTCGAGAGAATTTGCTTTCACTAACAATTTTTTGTTAATAAACATTGAAAGTAAAAATTACTCTCGAAAAAACACACCCTCTCTGGATGCATCCATCTATCTATCCTACTTGCGAAAAATACTCGGGAGCAAATTTCAAAAAATTTCACCCTCGAGTAAACGCATATCCCCCCAGCTAGAAAATATCGCAGAGAGGCGTATTTCTCAAATATCGAGTAATCGGAACGAGAGAGCAGTTAACAACCGTTCTAAAAAGGTGTCTGAAGCAGGTTGATAAATATATTTGGCTCATCCTATACGGATTTAACAAAGGTTGTAAGACGCGAGACGCGGCGGTGGATAAAATGGCGTGCAACGTGGTGGAGAGAAGAAGCTGCTCTCGGCGTAACGCGGAGATAACGCGGGCTCGTTTCTCGCTACATAAACTCATCTTCACCACAGAACTCGTCGAGCATATTGATACACAACGAAAGTTCTTTGTCCTTCCATCCATTCGAGCGAAATAAATAGAAGAAATCGTGGTGACGACGAGTTGAAAATGCACTAGCCTTGATCGTTGAGATTTCGAGCAAGAGAAATATAGAATGAAGGAAATTTTCAACCGTAAATGAAAATTATTCGGAGAAAACGAGTTTGAAAATTAAAGAAAATGATTGTTGAAGATTATTATTAAAAAAATTGGAAATAATAATAAAGATTCGATTTTTTAAATTAATTCGATTTGAAAATGGGATAAGTTGGAAACAAGATGGAAAATGGAGAAGAAAAAATGGTTGTTTTATAAAGTTATCGAGAAAATTGGAAGATGAAACAAGAAATGAAATTTCAAGACAATTTAATCAGTTTGAAATTGGAAATGGAAATGGTGGAATTATTCGGTTTTATGAGGTCTAAATTGGTTTTATGATACAAAAGCATAATGATTATAATTTTAAAAGATAAAAACTGATATGAAAAGATTTTAGAGAAAATTTCTCTCGCTAATAAATAATTCAGATATTTAATTTTTAATTTTTTTCTCTTGTTCCATCTTCAAAATTTTGTTTACATCCGCGCTAAAATTCTTCGTAAATTATCATAATTATTCCCAACAAATAAATACGACTCTTCAATAATTTCAACGGCATAATTTCAAATATAATTTTACACATTGATTAAATTCATTATACGCTGTATAATAATACACCATTAACATTTTATTCTATGATTTATAACGTAAATTGTCGACAATTATGAGAGAAAATTCGATATTTACAAGTTATTTTTATTAAAGGTATACAGAAAACTTTATAGTCTTCTTTTATTCATACAACGTGAAAAAACATAGAAATATTTTAATTTTTTTTATACGTGTTATATTCTTGGAAATCGTGTAAAAAGAAATTACAACTTGATGTATATAAAATCGTATGTTGTTAGAAAAATCGTGAAATGAATTACTAACGCTTAATTGTAGTCAAATGTATTCGTAAATGTGGCAGAAATTAGTTCTATTTGCGCTATGTTAACGAACTCGTAACACGATATGCATATGTAACTTCTCTTGAGTACACTTTCCATAGAAATATTTGATACAACGCGAGAAACAGGGGAAAAAAGGAATAAATGACTTTTTTCAAAATTAACGAAAAACAAATTAATTTAAATATCGAAATATGTTTTTCAAGGAATTTTAAAATAACAACAAGCTTCAATAAATTCAAAAGTATAAATCGATAAGAATGATACTAATTGGAATTGATTGAGAAGAAACGCTAAGATTTACTTAATACTTCTTTCCAACTAACCAAGAAACTTTTCATCCGTTTTCAGGTCTCATTCTTCTCTACCAGTCCAGAACTTTCCAACAAACAACGATTCGAATATTTCACGCGCACTATACCCAGTGATCATTATCAAGTAAAAGCAATGGTGGAGATCGTGATGAAAATGAAATGGAGTTACGTGTCTATCATATACGAAGAGAGCAATTACGGAATAAAGGTGAGTTTATATTCAAAATTCGAGTTACTTTCGAAATTTCCATATATATGTAATGCATTTTTATTTTTTAAAAAAAAATTCTCGTTAATTTTAAGCTGATTGTATGAATGCGCAAAAAAAGAAATCATTTGATTTAAACGGTTAATAGAAATAAATATTTTGCTTTTATATTTTTTTCGATATTTTATCAAATTGTCGACACGTAAATATGCGAAATATCCATTGTTGTTTCTATGTGGATGAAACGACACACGAAATGCGTGAAGATAATTATTGGATTTATACGTAGCCAACAATGGGGAAGTGTGATGGATTAACAGGGACACATCGATGAGAATAGGGGTAAATCGGTGATACGCGTGAAAAATGCGATCTCGTCCGTGTGAAATTTGAAACGGACAGTTGATCGATACGACCGCACTACGGTTTTGAAACAATGCATTTAACCGACAATGCGATCACCACTGCAACTATCTATCCATTCCAGAAAATTCGTATTCCACCGCCGCGTACAACAGATTCCATCAGACGCATCGTAATACCCTTTCGTTTTTAAATAAATGAATCAAAATTCCCTACATTCTTCGCGCGAAAGTTCGATATTGTTGTCGAACGAATTTTTCAATTTTTGTAATTGGCAAATTGTTTCTTCCAAATATATAAAATATATATAATCGTAATATAACTTATTTTATTTCTTTATCCAAAAGAAAGCGACAATTAATAATTTTTTCCAAAAACAATCGAATAATTTTTCTTTCCACTTGCGACTTCATATCAACAAAAATGAAGAAACATTTATCTAAGAGGAAGATTTTCGACGACATTGGACTGGTTGTCGCATTAATCTGCATTAATCTAAAGTCCACAAAATCACAATTCACCCAATATTTCGACGACAACCCCCGAAACTACAACTGTGTCTCGTTTACTCGACATCTGCGTAATCGAAACAACTCCCTGGAAAGCACTCAGGTTCTTTCTGTTTCGGCCACCTTGTTTAAAATAACAACCCGCCACGGTTCCAGCTTTTCAACGAATTTATTTTCGGACTCCCCTCTTCCGGTCTCGCGTCACGTTTCCTGTCCACGACCAACTACCGCCCCACTGTCACCGCCGCTATGCTAATCGGCCGTAATTAAAACCACAGCAAACGGCTGACGGATAGAGTTATTTTCGGAAATTATTTCCATCTCCCCGTCTAAAGGTCCGTGAACAGATTTGCATAAATTTTCTTTGCAACGACTGGATAAATTTAAAAACTGGATAACGATTTCCAATACTTGTGTTTTTTCTTTTTTTTTTTCTTCTTCTTCTTCTTCTTAGAAACTTGGAAAATGATTCTGATTAATGATTCCAAGGGACGAATGCGGTTTTCAGATTGGAATTGGATATAAATAAATTAATAAGTTGGATTACTTTATTGGAATATGTTCATTCTTGAAAAAGATTGATCAAAGAATAAAGGTTCTAAGAATTGGAATTGGATCTAAATTTAAATTGGTAAATCGCAATTGATTCTTGTTGAATGTTGAAAAATGACAATTTTCTCTTCGATCATTTTTTTCTCTTTAACATTATATAAAAAAATATCTGTTTTTACGATTACATTTATCGAATGGATTTATCAATAAATGCATCATAAGGTTACAACGAATATTCATTAACAATTTCAACTAACATCTCGAAAAGAATAAATTTCACTCCAAATGATTTCACTATTTTTAATATTTCCAGGAAAAACCAGTGACCATCGAAGCGTAAGGAGAAATATGTTATAAATTCTTTCGAGTGAGCATTCGATAGCTTGCCCCCTTCATAAAATCGATAAAATCGCTTCAAACGAAATCTAATTTTAAATCACGATAACATTAAATAAATCGATGTTTAAATAATTAAAAATCGTGAACGAAAAGTGAAGTAGGGAAATAAGAAGGGAATAAAATTTCTCCAGCGAAATGAAAAATGGAGAAGAAATTATTGTACGCGCGTATAATACATCTTAAATTAATTCGTCGCGCGAAAGAAAACAGTAGATAAGAGAGGGGAGTGACGAACGATGACCGTATCGCTTGCAGGACATCTTGGAGAATCGCGTTCGTGATCACGAAACGAGCGAGGCGCGCGTGCATAAAGCAAATCGGTTCAACATCTCATTAGAATGTCACGACAACGAAATTAACAAGCAAGGCCAGTGTAAATTACCGGCGCATGCACCCGTGTAAATAAACGATTCGATGTTGGCCCGTTACGCATTATCGATCGAAATCAATCGTAGCCGAATTTCAATATCAATGAACTCGTTGGGACGACGAGTCCGTTCTGCCGTGATTTTAATCTATGCCAAAGGATTTCTGATGAAGGAAAGGGAGAGGGGAAAAAATAGAGATATCTGTGTTACTTATAAGCTTGATTAAAATCGCAGAAAAGAAATAACGAGAAGAAATAATCGGTCTGGTTTTTAAAGAGGGATATACACGCGAGGGATTACGATGATGAAAAATAATAACGCATATCCAGCCATAAAGTAATATATGTGTGTGTGTGTGTGTGTGTGTGGAGATACATTTAAACGAGAAAATCAGAATTATAAGTTGGAACAAGCGAGTTTCTGCTGGACTGATTCATTAATTTGTTCGATTCTCTCGAAAGTAACTACGTTGATATTTCTTAACGAAACGAATTTTAAGATTTAGAGACAGACTTCGTTGGGAAATTTTGTATGTATTGCCCTACAAAAAAAGAAAGCTTCGTTCCTGAGCGAAATTTCTATTTCGCAATTTTAACTGTTGTACGTTTACCGAATTTCCATAGTTAGAAAAATTTCAATATAATGATTTGATTTAATTGCTCGTCGTGGCTCCCTGTTGACATAGACACGGCAAATCGATCGATAGATCTTTCCATTCGTGTTCCGATCGTTATCAAAATAAACACAATAAACTACCTACACCCATTATCCGTGAAACAACATGGAACAACGACGACAATGTTAAAAACGGTGACAATTTAGAGAAAAAGGAAAAATAATAATATCCCGAAAGAAACAATCCAAATAATAAGATTTCCCATTTTTCGTCTTCATTTCCTTTACTCACAAAAAAATTTGAAACTGCCAACCAAATTACGATTAATTTTATATTCGGCTGGAAAACAAATCGGTTCTCGATCAGATTAAAGTATTAAGCAACGAGTTTCAATTTGAGAAATGGCGTCGAATAAATTTCTCGTGCTCAACTACATCAACTGAATGAACATAGAATAGTAGCGATTAGAATAGTAGCAAACCGGCTGAGGTTTTCATTGCAGTCTGTTGAATACTTCATCCTAAGACACGTTAAATCGCGTGCGCGTAGCCCATCTCGCGATTTTTTGCACAACAGCTGGTTGAATAGAGAGAAAAGGAGAACAGACGGACACCTAATTAGAATTTTCTCGAAATTCAGGATTACGTAACAACCATCACCACGCTGATTATGCGATTTTGTGTACTCGCATATATTCGTTGAAATGAACGCGTGTCACTGCGAACCAATCGATATTAACAAAATGATCGGGAAGTTGCACTCGATAATTATGAAATGTAGTTAATTATTAATTATCGTATCGTAATTAAAGATTTTAATTGTTGAATAATTTGAAAGGGAAAAGAAAACTAATTGTTTCGGGGGGAAATTTTAAATTTCCCGTTGGACGAATGCTGGAATAATTTATTCGAAGGTTACGATAACCTTTGACCTCAAAAACTTAAGTTTGAGAACACTTAAGAATTCTTCGTGTCAAAAAACTTTGACACGGAAGAAGTTTATGATGGAAGAGTTCAGGCTTAAGAAGCTCCAACATTGATCTCAAGATTTAAAGCCGCCAAACCATATCGAAAGTTGGAAATCAAAATTCTGATTTAAGAAGCTTATTCGGAAACCGAGACCTTCGAGGTATTCAAATTTTGAAAATTCTCCCCTCTCTCGAGATTAAAACGCATCCATTTCAAAAAGCCCAAGGTTGGAAATCCTCCATCCTTCCAAGGTTCCAAGGTTCAAAAGCCTTGACTTTAAACGTCGAATTAAACATTTCAAGATTAAAGGGACTTATTTTTATTGTAGAAAAAAAAGAAAGAAACTTTCCAGCACAAAGCCACGATGTCAACAATATGCCGGTCTATCTGACCCTTGATATCACGATAGTTAACGTTACCACGTTGGAAAAGAAGATTAATGACCGTGGTATCTCGAAAGTGTTCCAATTACCATTCACGTGTCACGTGATCTTACGTCAAGAAAAATGTAAACTCTTCGCATCGAATCCGGAATGAAACGTAGGAAAGGTAACGAGGTGACGAAAGACAAGGATGATATCGTTTATTAAACGATAGTCTCGTACATCATAAAAATATCAGACTCGATCACAGATATTATATACAACGACAATGAAATTTCGAGACTGATAAATATTGGGTGTAGCACGATAGAGGTTTCTCTTATTTTAAGCAACAATCTATCTCTTGTGCTTTCATTGTTCGCTCAAAGCGTGGCCGTAATAACCAGACGTCTGCAGTAGTATGAAATTGGCTTTTACGTATATACGTCACGCGAATATACGGGAAAATTGAAATTTCCCTTCAGATCAAAAACGAAGGAGTTTGTTACGTGTCCGTTATTATGCGTATTCCATTGAAAACAATGGAAGGTCCACGAATATACAACGCGATCGTGGAACGATAAGAATTGCATGTTTCGAGTTAAATCTTGACAGATCGTGATAGATTATTCCGTATTCGTGTGACGTGAATTCGACTTATTTTTAAAATAAGATCAATCACATCTTGAAAGGTACTTTTATTCTTTCACATGTGTGTGTGTGCGAGACACGTGATGACGGAAATTAAACTTGTCAGATTTAGAGTTTATATACACAGTGTCCCAAAAATGTGAAAACATCGGTTGATTGAAAATTGTCTGGAATAATTTCAATCAACATTTTCCTTCGCAAAAATTTTCTTTGACGAAAAACGCCGGTTAACCACGGAGTGCACAGACAACTGATCAAGACGGTGAGTACATAACACTGACGAGTTCAAGCAACATGTGTCAAAGAAAAGTCTACTGAATGTAACAAATTGGCCAATATTATTCGTTGACAAAGCTTCATAACGAAAGTTTTTACAAAGGAAAACGTTGGTTGGAAATTAGAATTTCAATTGATCGATTGCTTCCACATTTTTGGGATAGTTTGTATAATTAGTTTTCGCGAATAAAATTTCAGGAAAGGAAATATAGATGACTGTGATATATGCTAATTTTAATCAAATTTGATAAAATTGATCGTTAAATGTAAAAAAAGAGAAATGCTTTATTTAAATGCTTATAAATTAGACATCAAAATGTTGATAATTTGAATGAAAATTGAAAGGATGGAAAATTTTCGTTCAACGAAAAATAATAAATCGATTTCAAAGATATTAAAATATTTCACAATCCTTTAATCTGCTGTTTTAATTCATCTTACTTATGTATATCAAACTGTACTTCATACTTTGCTTGTAAATCTATCATAACGTGTTCTGTCGTTACAGAACAATGGATAGGTGTATGACCAATGCAGCGCCATTGACCTAGATATTGATTTAAAAATGACACAGGCATGCTTTTTTTTTTTCTTCCTATTTACACATACATCCCAGTTGAAAAAATTCTTTGTTAAGAATACAGGATGCATTCCTCTCTGTGCATTCTACTCTACCCACGAGATAATGGAATTCATAAGTACCATAAAATTGGAACAAGAAAAAAATGAAATGAAACACGCTATCCTCGCCAAATTATTCGTATTCGAGAACGATATAGTTTTATTTGAAAAATTTTTTTCTAATTTTATTACCATTATTTTATATCCTATTCCTCCATATATCTCTTTTCTCTTTCTGTTTTAAATACGATACAATGGGATTCGTAATTATTATATGTAACGAAGAAGAAAAAATTAATTACCAAATTTTTTATAGTACCGAATACAAACAGAATTTTAATCTAACGGTTTTTTGTCAACTTAAAGTTACAATTTATTATTACCATTGTTTTATCATTCACTTTCACGCATGAAACAGTGCGATTTATTAATTAATAATTGCATTAACAAACGAAATTTTAAAAAAAGAAATACTAGTGAGAATACCATTATATTTTTTTCTATAAAACTTAATCAAATATCGTTAGCCTAAAAATACAATTTACCATCCTTTGATCCACGCGTCCGCTTCTCCTTTCACTGTACGCGTGCACTCGATATAAAACACCCTATCATTTCTATTTCTCTCAGTTTATCACCCTATTATGCGTGTCCCATGAAAATGAAATTGATCCTCTCCCAGAAACTTTCGTCAAAACGTGCGCGATTTTCGTTCGCCAACCAACAGCTCGATGTTCGCGAACGTTATTCGTTGTCCGCAACACAGTTTACGAACTGATCCATCCTTAGAAAAAGCGTTTTTCGAGGGTGTGCACGTTCCACGTGTGTGAGTGGCTGGTCTGAGAATAACGCGAAATCTCGATGGGTCCACGGCTGTTACGTATTAAGACGTTAGGAAGGAGGGAATTACGCGAAAAAGTTTGGCGAGTCACGTTTCTGCAATAACGTTTTCTCATTAATCTCCGTGCAACCGATGTGCCGGTTGTTCCCTTACAGGCGAAATATCGTTGCTTCGAAGGATCGATTTAAGAAAAATCGGGTCAAATAAGCGAGGGCCGTCCCAGCTTGTTTCTAAATTGGAATAAAAGACGAGGAGAATATCCATCCGAGGTATTTCTTTGTCGTATAATATATTAAATTCGTTTCGTGCATCGCGTTATCTACGTTTCATTTCGCCTTATTGCATTGCACGATCGTCATAACTGATGCTGAAGTAGGAGCGTGATAATGTACGAACTTGCGAAAACCGCATACTCGGAATAAATTTAGCGTCGTGGAAGATTACCTAGGAAGTAAGTGCATTCCTCTTACGAGGATTTATTCAACGCTTAACCATTATTCACCCGTGTTTCACCCTCTAATTAATTCAATTCTCTTTTTCTTTTTCCTTAATGTAAATCCATTTGAATTAACATAAATTACATCGATATGAATATCCGGCACAAATCTAATCTAATTGTATTAAATCGCACCTTTTTTGAAAGATGGATATTATTCAACGAATAAAAATGGATAATCTATAGATATTTTCCATTATCGTGAAACGGAGAAATTATCACATAAAATGCTGTGTGAATATATATAAAACGTTCGTTGATTCCAGACGGCCAACGAAATCATGGAAACCTCGTTTCCCGGTCTGTGATTTGGAAGAAAATTGCCGGTGCATAAAAGTAGGGAAAAAGGAGAAGGAAGAAAAAGAGAGGGGAGGAGGAGGGGGCGGGGGAAGAAAGAGTAAAAGGCTGTTACGTCTCTAGATGTGAAATGGGATGATGGAACATGTATAAATGGCGCACAATGCGACGAGGACACGCTAGGTCTAATAATTCTCTCGAATCTTTAACGACACTGATTTCTGCTTTCTTCCCCTATCTTCCAACTTTAGCTCCCGTGTCTATAGAAACCTTCTGGCATTTTCTCATTTTTCTTTCTTTTTTTTTTTCCTTTTTCTTCGACTATACGACACATTCACGCCGAATATTTTATTTCAACATAATGCTTATCCTCGCGTGTGCATTATCGTTGCCGTTAAAAAGAGATTCGAAACGAAGGGAAAGAGATCGAAACGATGTAAATTACCGTTCCGCGTGTTTGCTCTTTTCTTTTTTTCTTTTTTTTTTTTATCTGTTGCATATGTATGCAGCGATGAATAACGAGATAGGAATCGGTGAAAACCTTGCCCGAATCGATCACATGGGCTGTCTTCGTGCAATTAAATGAGAGATTACGTGTAAACGTGGTATAATTTCACGCCGATTTACGATAAATGTTTGTAAACGATTATTGTTTATCGTCTCGAGAAAATGGAATTTGAAATTTGGTGATCGTGATATTGAGTTTGGATAACGCTGGGGAAAGTTATGATTCTAATCTAAACGGAGAAAAGCCGGCATCGAAATTAATCTGATTTGGTCATTATCCGAACACGAATTCGCATTTACCTCGTTTCACGATTTAAGATTCATTTGTTCATCGATCGTGAGCATAATTACGAAGAAATAAAAATTCTAGGTGATTGTGAGAATGTTGTTCGTTTGATTACAGGCGTTCGAAGAGCTGGAAGAATTGCTAGGTAAAAAAAACATATGCATAGCTATCAAGGAAAAATTGGTGAAAGATTCTGGCGTTGCGAAAGATGCGGCTTACGACAATATCGTTTTGAAATTGTTGACCAAACCGAGGGCACGAGGTAAGCCATATTTTTCACAATTTTTTATACCATACCAATAAATATCTTTATAAAATTTTAATTTCAAATATTTTCTCCAATCGCGCTGCCTATTCTACAAGATGAAAAACAATTTCTAACAATTTCGAAAAAGTAGAAGCAAATCTTAGACAAATACTTAGACCAAGAAACGTCTATTATATTTCGATACAAATTTTTATTTAGAATATTCTCAACAACGATTCTTCCTTGTAATCGACGTTTCACAGAGAGAGAAGAGATTCTCGAATCGTCGAACGTACACGTGAAACCACGAGAGCTTCGTTCCAGTTATCAAAGTACATTGGCGCGATAAAGTATAATATACCAAAGGGACAGGATCAATCGAAACAAGACAGAGGGAGATTCATCGACGTCGAATTGAAACAAAGATATCTCCAGAGGATTACAACAAACGAAAGGAGAAAAGGGGAAAGATTTTCCAACTTTGAATGATAGGGATTTTTATCTTGAATTCGCCTATTTCGTTATCAAAATGGGAGAAAACTAAGGCAGCTCGATACTTGATCCAGATAAAACTTGAATTTCACTGTAACTTCTCTTTCGAAATAGAACGTGGCGAACCAGCTGACTCTTCTTTCTTTCCCTCTCTTTCTCTCTCTTTTTGCTTACAGAGTTCCTTTTTCAAAGTGGAAATGAACGTTTTTAATCAGACACGAGAACGTCCGAAAGTAAAATCGATACTGCTCCGTGAAAATTTTGTTTTCGCAAATTAATGCTATTAACTTTTCGCATAGTTTTTAATTGTCGAGTTAGGGGGGTTAAAAATTTTCAATATCTTTCTAATAATTCTAATAAAAATATCGTCAAGATATTATGACATATTCAATTTTAAATAATTGAATGAGAAAGGAATTAAATTTTGTCAATGTTCCAAATGGAATATATAAATTTTGAAAAAATTTTAAATTTATTCATTCCTAATGTAGCACGTACAATATATTTTTTAAATTCTAATTTCGCAAATAACAATTGAACGTGCAATGAAATTTCATATATACTCGAATGGACTCAAGGACAGTGCACGAGCTAAATAATCAATAGAGTTTAAATGCTTGAAAAGCAGATACTAATAAATTAATTGTTCTCGTGTTCATAATAATTTGCCATATATTTATATGAATTATTTTAAATAATTAACGAGTAGTGAATATCAAATGATCAAAAGTAGGCGTTGATATTGTATTAAAAAAAAATAATAATGAAATAAAACGCTTTCAAATATATTACAGAACGTAATTAATTAGAAAACAAATCTTTCGTAAAAGCAAAGCCATTACATGCGATATAACTTTTGTATTTACTCTTAAAGTTAATGGCGCGTTGCAGGGCATTTTCATGCGCATCACAACCCCTGGAGAGACAAGTTCGATGTATCGAAAAATCTATAAACTTTCTAACGTCCATACGTATAAAGTTAGAATTACACCGTTAATAAAATTAAGCCGTGTGTAAGCCACCTTCGTATGTATAATGCTCGCTAAGGGATAATAGAGATTACCGAATTTTTCACTAAAGTTTGACTACACAAATCTTCAACCCCATTAATAAACTTTCTGCCCATTTATTTTAAACTGCTCTCTCAACTACAATTACGATTTCCATGTACTTTTAGAAACTCTAGGAAATCGTCGGAAAAACTAACTACCATTTCTCTTTAATTTGCCTAATTTCGTGTAAAATTAAAAATAAGTGAGAATTTGCTTTTTGAACCTTACTTTAAAAAAAAAAAAAATAATTAAAAATATACCAAGTTCAGGAATTTTATTAAAAGTTCTGGAGATATCAAATCAAACACGGTTAATTTACTTTAAGGGGGAAAAATGAGAGCTATAAAACTTAAAGTGTGTTATTATTCAAAACGGTTAAGAACATCGGATAATTTTAATTTTTATATAGTAAATTTATTAAATTCTCGATCAAAAATGAATATCTCGTTCGTTATATGGATTATCATACATATTACATACGTATACTATATTTCTTTATAAGTTATCATACTTTGAATCATATTTAAATTTGAAGTAAAAGAAAAAAAAATAAAATAAAGAACTACATCCTGGCATGTTCAAATATACGAAGTTTTATCATATCTATTCAAAATCCTTGTTTCTATATTTTAGACTTATTTTAGATTTTCTTTTCGTGTACGAGATTTTAAATAATACTTTATATCACGTGAAAATTCATCATATTCGAAATATGTCAAGGAAACACAAACTTTCGCATACGATTATACGAGACTAGCCACCTGGTGTTCGCGAAAAAAAGAAAAAAAAAAACAAGAAAAGTTAAACACTCGTATTAAAAAGGAACTTTTGAAAGAAAGTTTTTTGTTACACACACACACACACACACAGAATGTGTAATTTTAAACTATTATTTATTAAATATAAAAATCCACCGAATTCATTATTTAATCAAAGAATTTCTTTTCTTTTTCAAGAAAAAAACTTTAGCTCTAATCCACATCTTTCATCAATGGCCTCTGCCATTGTGCGATTATTTCTCATTCAACGAATCGCAATTACGCAGTTGTACCGCAAAATAGAGAGAGTAAATTTACTACCGTTTAAATAGTACTTCTGGCCTAAAGTTTCTCGCTATTGAAACTCGGCCCTCGTTAACCCTCGCCTTTTATCGATCGACTAACGATCGACCAATAGTAATCGAAAATTACTCTGCAAGTCGAAGATTTGAAGTCTGTTCTGCGAAATACGCCACGACTTAACCTTGCAGAAAATATATCGATGCGCGCCCCTATAGAAAACTCGATCGAGGAGCAATTTCTGATCCATCTTCTAGATCCATCCTGTTCTCGAAGATTAAGGTTTAAGCTCTCGAGCTCGGAGGAGGAGAAAAGGAGAAAAAGAAAAAGAATGCGAGGATGTAAAACACGTTGATTGCACGTTGCAAAGATTCTTATGGGAATTTAGATTAATAGAAGGAAAGTTGATCGAGAAGCAGTGTGGCGTGAAGAAAAAAGGATAAAAAAAAAGAGAGAGAGAGAGAGAATTATAATTAGAAGTTTCTTTCAAGGATTCACAATTTGCATAAAATAAACATACAGCTTTTGTGTTTCAGTTTTATCGAACGAAAAATAAATCGTAGCGAATCGATCTCCGAGTCGAGTTTGGATTAAAAAAGTAAAACACGAGGTAAAGTTTGGAAGCGAAAATTGAACGATTGCGCTTCTTTAAAGCAAAGACTGAGTTGATGATGAGTTTGCTTCTCTTGAGTCAACAGTGATATATATTGAAAGAGTGGAGAGGAAGGAGGGATAGAAAAATGGAATATAAGCAGCGTGAAATTTCTAGAAATATGACGCGTAAAGTTGTAGTAGAATTATACACCGATATTAGATCGCGGTGTTTCGTTTTGTTTTCGCGGAGAAATTAATTAAGTCAGCCGAGAATCAAAAATCACCAATTCTAACGAAGCAAGGAAGGAAGGAAGGAAAAAGAGATCTCTCTTCTCCCATTTCTCTTCATTGCAAACTGTCTATATTGATATTCGTAAAACACGGCTAGTCTGAAAAACCTCTTTATATATTTAATATAATTTCTTAATTGATTATAAATAAGAATTCTCTTATCCAAGGGATTGCTCTCTGGGATCTGATCCTTTTATAAATCTTCTATTTGATGATTAATTAAAAGGATTAATGGAAGACAAAGAAAAAAAGTTTGAATCGTGAGAAATTGTTCGAGAGCAAAGGATAAATTCTTAATTGTTAAACGTTGGATGGTGTGTCTGGTCAGGTTGCATCATATTCGGCTCGGATCAAGAAGTTGCCGGAGTTATGAGAGCGGTTAAACGTTGCAATGCGACCGGTGCGTTTTCGTGGATTGGCAGCGACGGATGGAGCGCCAGGGGGTTGGTTAGCGATGGTAACGAGGCGGAAGTGGAGGGCACTCTATCGGTTCAACCTCAAGCAAATCCTGTCAAGGGTTTCGAAGAATATTTCCTCAATTTGACGGTGGAGAACAACCGGAGGAATCCGTGGTTCGTTGGTAAGCTAACGAGCGAAACACGCGAGCCTCGTTAAACTTCGCTAATTCTAACTTTCGCGAGTTGCAACTTTGCAAAATATCGATTCTATTCCTATTTATTATCTATCTGACACTTAAGTAAGATTTGAGCGACGGAACGTGAGAGTGAAGAACGGAGAAGGCGACACGAATTTGAGGAAAATTCTTTTCTTTCCTCGCGTTTGTTTTCCCGCAATTTTACGAATTATTAATATTTCGAGAAAATAATTAAACGGTGAGAAACATAGATAGAACGTTGAATAAAATTTGTTATGACATTTAAACGAATGGTGTAAATGTATTATAATGCAATATGTGGTAAATCGTTTTAGAATTCTGGGAACATCACTTTCAGTGTAGATACCCGAACGCATCCATAACTCCGTACAACAAAAATTACACGAAATTCTGCAGTACGGAAAAGCGTTTGACGAAACAGAACACAGCGTTCGAGAATCAACTCCAGTTCGTGTCCGACGCGGTGATGGCGTTCGCCTATGCATTTCGGTAATTCAATTCTCACGAATTTATTCTCAAATAAATTTCGCATATACATATATATATATATGATTCCTGGATGACAAACGTGCTAAATATTCCCCGATCAACGTTCAGAGATATGCACAAAGAGCTCTGCGACGGGAAGCCTGGACTGTGCGACGCGATGAAACCAACCAAGGGTACCGAACTTTTGAAATATCTTCGAAAAGTGGATTTTGAAGGTAAGATGGAACAATTCTTACTGACGAAACGTTCGACTTTATAGCTCCTTTCGAGACGAGATCGAGCATCCTTTTTCAAATACAAATCTTTCCAAATATCAAATTATATTTATTCCAAAAAAAAAGAAAAACTTCCAATAATTGTACGCTGTATATATTTGCTCGTAGATATATTCACATCTATATAATTCCGTTTAAAAAGTAAAATTTCACGAGTCGAGGCAATCTTGTAACTAAAAGTGTAAAAAAAAAGAGAAAAGAAAAGAAAAGAAATTAGAAAATATGAAAAAATTGAATTGGCGAAAATTTCGAGTTGATGGAAATGGAAATATGATTGAAGGTCTGAGCGGCGACAAATTCAAATTCGACAAGAACGGTGACGGGCCGGCCCGATACAACATCATACACTTCAAACAAATCGAGCCGGGCAAATACGAGTGGGTCCGGGTTGGCAAATATCTCTCGGGTGAATTACGGTTGAATATGTCTGGTAAGCCACAGATTGGTCGTTTCGCGATTCCCCTTCCTTTCGTACCTTTTTCTCGCGAAATTGAACGGCACCGGCCCTCTCTCTCGCTACCTACTCGCATATTCCTTGCAGCGATCCAATTTAAACTTGGACACCCCGAGCCACCCGAAAGCGTGTGCTCTCTGCCCTGCGAGGTCGGCCAAGCAAAGAATACGTGGCGGGCGAGCAATGCTGCTGGCATTGCTTCAATTGCACTCAATATCAGGTTTGTCATGTTTCGCTCAATTTAACGATCATCCAATGTTTGTTTTCTTCTTTTTTTTTTTTTTTGCCAACGATCGACGAGAAAACAAAATTTTCCCTCTCGCGTTATGCACGAATATTATTTTCCGACGAAAAATCGGATCGATTATTATTATTATTATATATCTGTTCGTAGATGCGATACGAGTTTCTCTTTTATATACGATATTTAATAAAAAAAATTCCTTCGAGATATATTACTTTCCATTCTCTATAATAATCTCGCGTTGGTTGCAATTCTTTTGGGAAATTCTTGCCCGCGATCGAGCCGAAGAATTTTACTTTTCGTTCAAATGGCGGGCAGATATTTAACGCATCATGGAAGATCGCTTTTTAAATTCGTGAAACGGAAGTTTCCCTTTAAAAAAGCGTTACCGCTTTTCAGGGAGCGAAATAAATATACAGCTCGGATTACCTTGGACGGATTTTTCATTTTTAAATTTTCCACGTTTGTTAAACAGATACGAGATCACAAGGACGTGACCCAATGTATTTCTTGTCGTCAAGGTACCGTGCCAGACGACACGCACTCCGCCTGCCGTGATATCCCCGAGGAATTCCTGCGGCCAGAGAGCGGATGGGCGATAGGGGCGATGTCTTTCTCCGCTACGGGGATCCTGGTAAGTGATTCTCGCCGATGTAATTACTTGCGAAAAAAACAAAATTGCGAGTGGATGTTGTGGCGTAAAAGCGAGGGGAGAGGAAATCGTTGCCTTTTCGAATTTTTGAATTAAGTTAATGAGTTTTTTAGAATTAAAAAAGAATAGGAAAGAAACGTAGGTATGATGAAAGTGATGAGAGTGAAAGAAAAATATTTCACGGTGCGTTCAATCGTTTCGTTATTTCCTTTTTTTTTTTTTTCTGCTAGAAAGAAATGACGAACAAAGATTCGCAATAATGAGAACAAAGGAAGAAAAGTTTCTTTACATTTGAAATTCACTGTTGCGTTTTAATCGGGGGATTATAAGAGGGGAAAAGATTGCGAAGATAAAGGTCAATTGCTCTAATTGCATATAGTGAGATTCACGGTATGAAATAATCGCGAGTCGGCCAATTCCAACTACAAAATGCATTAAATCGGCCGAGAGCCTCTTGCAGTGAGTGCTGATGAAAAAAACTAGCTGCATTATTGATCCGGACTGCTCGAACGACTCGTAAATATCAAAATATCAGCACGAAGTCGTACTTTGCCAACCGGTTGAGATGAAGTTGTTTGTTTTTTTCCAAAATCATTGAAAACAGTATTTGTAAGATCGATTTGGAATTATTATTATTATTATTATTATTATTATTATTATTATTATTATTAAAAACTTAAAAATACAAATGAAATTTTATTTCTCGAGTTTTTATTTTAATTTCAACTAAAACTTGAATTAATTTACAATCCATACATCAAACACGTAAGAATTTCACTCTTTCTCGAAATATAACTCGAAACATCGTTCTTGCTTACGATTGGCTTACGACTCGAGCGCATAAATCCAGCACAAAATCCAATGAAATCTGAAGCGACTCGATTCAATACGAATACGAATTTGAGAAAATATTTCGCAACCAACAGATAACTCTATTCGTCTGTGGCGTGTTTCTGAAGCACAACGACACACCGGTGGTACGTGCATCTGGCCGTGAACTGTCCTACGTTCTTCTGTCCGGGATCCTGCTCTGTTACCTCGTCACCTTCGCCCTTGTCCTCAGACCGACCGACATCGTTTGCGGCATTCAAAGGTAAAGGATCGATGTACACCCCATTTTTCTCTGCCTTGAGGTAAGAAACTTCGACTGAACGTGGCCATTGAAAAATAAATTAAATTCTCGGCCGAAGAAACGAGCCGGCGGCGGTAAATTGACATTAATCAAGCGAGCGCGAGTGCATAGATCGGTGAAAAATTGATAAAAATTTCAGGGACGTGAAAAGTGAATTGCACGCGATTCAATTAAAGGAAGTGAAAAGAAGAATATAGAACAGATCGGTGAATCTATTTAGAGGTGAAAGTTATTTCTAATATTTCTTAAACGTTCTCGCATTTTTACGTTCTATCATTTTCGGATCGATTCATCGACAAAAAATGAAAAATTCATTTCTACAAAGTATAATATTTCGGGATAACAGGGATATTCTTTAAACCAAACAATCTGAAAATATTGAATAAATGATAAAAATTCTCAAATAATTTCTAAGAAAAGAAAAAAAAAAAGCTAAAAATAGATCGAGAAATCCCCATTTCGAAATCTGTCCCCTGTATATAAAATATACTTTAACAAAAATATTCCAACTAAAAAAAAAAAAAAAAACAAAAAATTCAAGATCACTCTCGATCGGGAAAAAAAATAAAAATATCCAAAAAAAATGATATCCAAGTTTCGTCCAACGAATGAATAAAAATACCCCTATTCGAAAAAAAACGCCAGTAGAAAGTATATACCTTATTGATAAATGAAAGATAAAATTTGACGAAGAGAAAATTGTTCGACAGATTCGCCGCGGGTTTCTGTTTCACCGTCGTCTACGCAGCCCTTTTAACAAAGACAAATCGAATATCGAGGATCTTCAACGCGAGCAAGCACAGCGCCAAGAGGCCGTCCTTCATATCTCCGCGATCACAGCTGATCATTTGTTCCGGCCTGGTGTTCGTGCAAATTCTGATCAACGGAGTTTGGATGATAATCGACCCGGCCAAGGCGATGCATCATTATCCGACCAGGGAGGACAATTTGCTCGTTTGCAACAGTTACATCGACGCCAGTTACATGATCGCTTTCGCTTATCCCATCATGTTGATCGTCGTTTGCACCGTGTACGCCGTTCTCACAAGAAAGATCCCGGAAGCTTTCAACGAGAGCAAACACATCGGTGAGTGTGTGTGTGTGTGCGCGCGCGCGCGTGTCGTATCCTCAATTTTCCAACTCGTTCATTGTTCCTTTCCCAACTTGCATCGTATTTTCATGTAAAGTCTTTAACGTCTTTATATGGAGGGGGTTCCGTGGGTCCATTTTCCCGTGGAATGGAACTCGTCAAGGATGGGCGATATTTTCTTGGCGCGGAATTTTATTAACACAGGAACAACGCAGGATCCTCTGTACACTTTAGAACGAAGTTTACGTGGAAGGGTTTAAAGCTCCCTAAGTTTGAATATAAATCAAGCACCGATTCTAACGATAATTCCTAAGCCGAAGATGAAGTTCTGTTAAGTCGTAAACTTCAGCATCTCTTTGTAAGCCGTTCTTGAATGCGAGTAGAATCGTGAAACATTAATGGGTGTAATTCGCTCGGATCTGCGCGAGGCAGGAAGGCAAAATAATAAGTGGGGACGTGTCGGACGTATCCTTCATTTCGAAATTCTCTTTGTTCAAAAATGTATATATACGCGTTGTGATGATTAACAAAAACAAAAATGCCTCTTAACCCTATCGCTTTCGATGTTTAATACTACGATATTATACTTTAACTAGGTAAATATAATGGCTTATCCGTGAGATTAAGGCGTTAAATTTTAAGTTTAAACTTTATATTGGAAGAAAATATTGCTTCTACTTCGATTCGTTAATTAATTAAAAATATATTCGAGGATGATAAATTGTGTCCCAAAAAGGATTTAAACTCGCAATAATCGTATTTCTATTTCTACAGGTTTCACGATGTACACCACGTGTGTGATATGGCTGGCATTCGTGCCCCTGTACTTCGGTACTGGAAACAACGTTGCATTGAGAATCACCTCGATGTCAGTTACTATAAGTCTATCCGCATCCGTAACTATAGCCTGCCTGTTCAGCCCGAAGGTAATTCATCGCGACAGAATTTCAGATGAATAGAGTGGCCAACTTTTAACCTTTTCCTTCTCTCGACAGTTATACATCATTTTAATACGGCCAGAAAGGAACGTGCGTCAAAGCATGATGCCAACTAGATATAGCACCACGAAAAGTTCAGCAGTCACGGCTACCAATGCTTCTAGCATGATAGCGCCGGTCGCGCTCACCGCGGCTACGTGTGATCAGAACAAGGCTGTTAAAAAACACATCACCACTACCATTGATTGCTCCACTCAAAGCGAATGTGAGTATTATCACGACTTGCCAAATATCATGATTGATGAAAGAAAAGATCTCTCCAATTGATATTTCAAAAAAATATATATATATATAAAAATGATTATTTCTTGATCTTAATATATTCGTTATTCGAAAGATTAATGTCTTAAGAAGTATAGTTCACAGTATATATAGTGGGATTATAACTGGAGCTTTTTTACATTTATCGTTCAATAAGTTAAATATTTAATGTTCAATATTCCACGTTAAATGCCATTTATTTTATACGAGATATAAAATATTAAAGAAAAATAGTTTATTTTTTTTCTTTTTTGTTATCTATATGAATTATCGATAAGTGACTCGCGATTAAAAGTTGGTAGAATATCTAGTTCTATCATATATTATAAGAATAATCGTTCTAATTACTTATAAAATAATTAAATACAACTTTTCACCGAGTAATTTAATACTTTCTAAAAAAAAAAAGTGCATCTTAATTTCCTTTAAAAGACTTTAACCACCGTAGTTTTCAAAGAAACTATCTAATTATCGATCGAGACTTTTTAATTAATTAAACATTTTCGACTGGCAATTTTTGCATTCTCGATCTACAAACACCCCAGGCAAATGTCTGCGTGGAACAATTTTCTGACAAAATAATTCATTATAAAAATCCTTTTAAATAAGACAGCCTCTCAAAATTTTCTGGTAAACATCTGGCCGATCTGTGTATTCTTTAAATTAAATCTTAACGTTCTAATCCTTTGAGCCTGCCAATCGTAATTAACGAAATTTAATGAACAAATATTTTCTCTTGCAGACTACGAGCTAGAGGTGAAAGATCAGAAAAATGGCAAACCACCCTCGCTCGTTTCTCGATCGACCCAAACCTCTACCAACAACGACAAAGACGCTAATGCTGTGGTAACGCAGAGCAAAGAGTCGAAGGATAATATCACGACAACGAAGCAATTGAACAATAAAACGAGAATAGGAAACGGACCTATAAATCAGAGTGATGTTCCATTATAGCAGCAAACTTCCATAGAATCGGCCATTTTGCCCGCGACTTTGAAACCAATTTCGAAAAATCCGGTGATAGTTTGAAAGGACGACAAAAAAAAAAAAAAAGAAAAGAAAAGAGAGTTGAACGATATTTTGTAAATACGACTGAATATTAAGTTCGAGATATTGAAAAATAATATTAACTCTCTTTAAAGCTTTGAACGATGTTTAGACTGAATGAAGATGAAATTTGTTGTTAAGTGAATTACAAACGATAATGGAAATATATATATATATAAAAATATATATAAAATAAAATTTTTGAAGAATGTGAATGAAAATAAATGATTAAGAGAGATTTAAACAAATTTATGTAAAAATTTGGAAGAATTGATTTTGTCGGTTAATATAAATATATTATGAGGACGCTAGGTACACGAAATTGCATCATAAAAGACGAATAATCGATCTTAATTAACTATTAAGTGGCGTTTTAAAAACTGCTCTGGTTTCTTCTGTGATCATAGCGTAATGCACGTAATAATCACGTGAGATTGCATAAAGCTATTTTGTACATACACTATCATTTCATAACATTTGCACATTAATCATTATTCACCGATATAATAGAATTAATCGAAATATTGTAAATATTTAGTCGAATTCGTTATTATGTAAAAAAAAAAAAAAAAAAAATAAGGAATTATTATCCAAAATCGTTGCCAAACACGAAAATAGGATTGCGTCTATGCGACGAGATCTTCTATTAATAATTTTTGTAACGAAAAAAAAAAAAGAAAAAAAGGAAACAACGGTTGTTCGATACATCGAGAAAATCACATTTAACGATTTTTCTGTATATAAATTTCTCTTTGTAAATATCACACGAAATAACAGAATAAGCGAATAAGTTCGAAACATAAAACAAAATTTCCAAATGTGACTATACTTTAGTAGACTTTTTTAGATAATCTTTTCTCCTTCTTTTCGATATCTCCTCTGCAGACTATAGGAATTGCTACACGTAGAAAATAAAAGATAAAGAAGAAAAACGCAACAATCGCGTTTCGATCGAAAACACGAAACGTTTTCACGTCTAGTCGATCTAGTCGCTCTAACTTTAATAATCTAACGTTAACGCGCTTCATCTTTGTATGGCGATTAAAAAATGAAAATTCCAAGCGACGAATAAAACATTCCGTAGATGTAAATACGTGATTGATTGAAGAAAAAAATTGTAAATTCATTTCCGTAGAATCGCAGTCGTGCGATAAACATATCCGATCTAAACCCGTAGTTGTTTTTTCGCTAGCGATAGTTGCGCAAGAATGAGTAAAATTGTCGATCGCTTGAAAAAAAAGAAAAAAAAAAACAATTCGTTCCGAATGATTTTATATAAGTGAATTTGTTCGTGCGTAAATGTATAAAAGATTTCTAAAAAAAAGTTTTGAATTTTTATAGAACCGAAAGGAACATCCACTGTCCAAACCTTGGATACAAATGAGCCCAGTGTCCATTGCTTGGCACGATTCTTTTATTTTCCTTTAAAACATGACAACGATACTTGTTAAATTGAAACTTTGTGAATTCGATATAATTAAAATTTTCATTCGAAAAATTCAACGCAACCAAATATATATATATATATATGAAATACGAGAATTGAATGAGAATGTAAATATATTTGACTATATTTTACCAACGATCATATTTCATTCGAGAGTATGTAAATATGTAATTGTACATACAATAGGCGACACTGTATATTAAGTATTAAGGCATGAAACGAAAATATTACTAGTTCATACGGAACCAATTTAGCCATAATTAAATTCTATAAGAGTTTAAGAGACTACGAATATGAGATTAAAATTAATACGAGATGATAATTCCATAACGCGATAATTGATAATTGTCGTGAGAAAGAGAGAAAACTCTAAGCTAGTTCGCGCGAACTATTACGATCTAAGGATATTTTAAATACGTACGAACACTGCAGTAGAAAGACACAAATTTACATGATGTTACACTGGATGTATTCGTTGGAACGATCGAAAAATACCGAAAAAGAAAAATTATCGAAATAAAATGAACCGTGAAAAATTATCTCGTCCTTTAACGCATTATCCCCTTTTCCCACAACAATACCACGATACCTTCTCTAGGCATCAATTGATTAAATTTTTGACATTCACGCGCACCAGGTGCATCTTACTTAATAATCACGTGTTACTTTTTAGGATCAGTTTTATTTCTCAAAAAGTACAAAAAGATTACACAGGAAACGATGCGCTGTTCTTACAACGACGTGGACACGGACAGACAGATAGACAGACACAATCCAATCGAGTTGGTGATATGCCACAAGGTTTCACCTAAAGCTGAACTTCTCAATTTGGCTCATCGTTCAGTTCATGGTGCCTTACCGGATTAGTAGATCCTGAAAATCCCGATTAGGCGTATCATTTGTGACTTGTACCTACTATACACATGATGGTTAAATTGTGAGAAAAAAAAAAAACACGATAGATTTAAGACTTTCTACTGTTTTAAAAGAGACGCACGCTCCGATTGGACAGGGTTGGAGAAGTTTACGCGACTTCCGGTACCACCTATTCCTGAAAGCTGGGTGCAGCCTTTCGCGAAAGCTTGCCTACGAATAACCAAAAGTGCAGAAAAGAAAATTTCAATGAATCGAGTTGGGAAATCGATAGTTACAATTCCTATTTATCCTATGCGCTAATCAATATATCTATAAAGAGAAAATACAACTATAAGCCTAATTTATTCTAAGTCTTACAATCACTCGTATATCTCACACAGACGTGAAGGAGAGGCATTAAGGGGGTGCAGAGAAATAGAAAAGCGTCGCTAAAATAAATTATCTTTTTATTCCATTAGCAATTACAACGCTTTGTAATTCAACTGACATTTCTTGTTCACTAAAGCAACGTATCGTTCATATACCGTTTACATCCTCCTAAACACACAACTTTTCCTTTTCTCTTTTCTTTTTTTCTTTCTTTAATAACAACGGTCGATCCGACTAGTTACACTTTATCACTTCAGTTATTATATTTTGTTCTCTCTCTCTCGTATCCACGTTATTTCATCATTTTTTATAGGGTGAAAATAAAAAGACAACAAGATAACACAAACGATGGAAAAAAAAAACTATAAATATTGTACGAGACACATTTAAGCAACTCATCACGCTGTATTCTACTGTCATACAGTATGAATGACAGTATTTTTGTGTATAGGCACAGATACAATAATAAATATGTATGCAATTTATTGCAACAACTATATGAATAGATTTGCCTATAAAACTTGTCGAACCCTGCTTCGTTATTCATTCACACCTTATTAACGCAAAGTATAAAATCTTTGGTCTGGACTAAAAACTCTTAATACATACTAGACATTTTTACAAAATTCGGAAGCTTATTCGTTATAAAAGTACTTATTCTTCTTTCTTGTAAGAAAATCGTTCGTCGTTTTCTCATTTATTATTGTAAGGTCTCGATGTGAGGACGATCACAATGTGTTTGCCATGCTCGTGACACGGTATTGTGCACGATTTACATTTGTCTGCTTCGAATCGCTGACAACAAATATTAATTCGATATTAAGTTTAATGCCTGCATCTGTTTACAACGATTTAATCGATTAAATTCTCTTTGTTTTATTTGTTAATTATTTGTTAATTTTCTCTCTCTCTCTCTCTCTCTCTCTCTCTCTTCTCT